CACACACACACCCCTACCTATTTCCCCCCTCCTCACTGGCTTTGCTTCTCTAGAGAACTCAGCCTATGAAAGCAGCACACTTTGCAACCAGCCCCCATAGCTGGAGATACATGTCATTAAATACCAAGCAGTGGACGACGACTTATCACACTTGATGCATTGCTTCTCTGGGACTAAAACACCATTTACTAAACCGCTGCATTTAAAAGCATAACTTCTGGAAATAGCCTAGCAGCATTTTACAGCGGCAAGACTTTTTATTTTTTTGTTTAAAAAAAAAGGCTAGAATTCAGTATCATCAATGGAAAGAGAGAGATTTGAATGCTTGGCCAATTATCTCTCTCAGATTCCTTTTCCTGTATATATTATATTTCAATTGCCCTATGATTGAGTCATGTTCCCATCAGCATGCTAGAGTTCTGAGCATTCCAGCTGCAGGGCACATCTTATTACGAGGAGGAAGAATTCATTAGCCCAGCCTTTGTCTTGGGGTTGGCAGCTTCACTGCCTCTGTAAGAAGATCTCTTGTCTCTACTGATTTATCTGAGTGCTGCCCTGGTCTCTGGGCAATTACTGAAAATGCCCAAAGTGGCAATGAAGAAACGAGATGCTTAGAGAGGGAAGAGGTGACGAGAAAGGAAAATTTTAAAGAAATATGATTCCTTTGGTGCTCAAACGTCCTTTAGTCAGGTGTGTCTATTCTTTTAAAGGAGGTATCAGACATTGATTAATTTCATTAATCAATGAAGGACTGCATGGAAAAAAATCAATATTATTTGTAAGCCTTCACTGAAGTAAAACATTTTTTTAAACTAAACAAGAAAAGGTAAACAGTTATATAGGATGAAAGGAAAGGCAATACACAGTAAGGAGTTGGTTAGACATTGAAATTACTTAATTACATTAAGCAATGGAAATTAACGTTCTAAAATAAAATGTGTATGAATGATGCAATGAAATTGTAATTCTAATGCTGCAAAACAAAACAGGTACAAATGAAAAACCAATATGCTTTGTAAATGCTCAGTCAAATAAATAAAAGGGAGGAGAAAATTAAAACAAGAACTTAAAAATATTTCATAATAATAATAATAAAGGAGGTATAAAGGGGCCTGGTGGCACAATGGTTAAGTGCTCACTACAGGCTCAAAGGTTGGCAGTTTGAACCCACCAGGGACTCCTGGGGGAAACATGTGACCATCTGTTTCTGTATAAATACACAGCCAGGGAAAAACCTAGGAGGGAGTTCTACTTTTGTAATATAAAGTCAGTGTGTCTGAATCCATTTGACAGGCAGACATTTGGTTTTTTAGAGTGGGTTTATACAATCCTTCAGTGGTATAAAAAAAAGGAGCACTGGTGGGGTAACAGCCAAGGACTTGGTTGATAGGAAAGGCTAGTGTTTAAAACCCACCAGTCCACAGTGTAAGATGCAACAGTCTTCATGAAGATTCACAGCTTTGGAAACCCAATGTGGTAGCTCTACTCTGCCCCACAGAGTCACAGTAGGTCAGGGATTGACTTGAGATCATCCAGTGACAGTGTAATATGTTTATACACACACACTCCTCTCGTCCCCATCTTAAGGACTTGTAGTAAATTCAAGGTCTAGTAAAGTTTCCCAAAGACACCTTCGAGTGCTGTGATGCTCTTAGGGCAAGGAGCCAGGCCTCTCTGTGCACTCTAATTCCTCAAGACCAGAGACCTTTGCTGATGGCCCTGTCAGCTGGGACACAACCAGTAGGTGTTAGGAATGGTGTGAAACGTGGTTTTCCCATCTCACTTAACACTCCCTAGCACACTGGTGCTCAAAGTGTGCTCCTGGCTCAGCAGCCTCGATATCGCATGGGAACCTCCCAGAAATGAAAACTCTGAAGCCCCCAGCCCGGATCCACTGAGTCAGAAACAGATTGGTAGTAGCTCAGCAATCTGCTTTTAACAAGTCTTAACCCACCCACGTTTCTGAAGCATGCCAACGGCTTGAGAACCACCATCTCGAAGGCAGGCACCGCACCTATCGCATCACAGATCACACTGAGCCCCCGGGTAGTGAGGTGATTGCCTGAGTCCCACAGAGTGGGAAGGAGACAGGGTTCGAGTCCAGACCGCCCTCCTCCGGAGCCCAGCCTTCATGGCTGGTCCAGCTTCCTCATTACTGAGGTTCAGGCTTACAAGTCAGCAAACACCAGCAAGCACATGCGGAGCAGGAGTGGGAGTGATGAGTCTAAATCTCAACAGCTGAGCAGTAATGACAGCCCACGGGGAATAACGCCACTCCTCAGAAACGGAAAATGGAACTTTGCTATCCGCCCAGATGGGAAGTAGTTAAGCAAATGATGGCAGAGCCAGGACTCTAACACGGCCTTAAAAGCGAGGTTTGCTAAGACTTCCAGTGACCTCCAAAAAGGCTTAGGATGGAATAAGGGAAGACATTCTGCGACAAGGACACCAGTGTGGGCACGGGGATAGAGGGTGTAGGTGAAGACAGAGGACCACTGCCTCCACTGTCTGCATGGATTTGTAACATTATCACATCCTCTTTGCTGTCAAGTGGGAACCAACTTGTAACTGAATCCCCCCACTGTGTTTCCAAGGCTGTAAATCACATGGGAGGAGACCGCCCATCTTTCACTCATGGAGCCTCGGGTGGAGTTGAACCTCTATAGTGAAACAGCCTAGAGTCTGGCAGTGTGACTCTCTGTGGGTCCCGTCACCAGCGCTCTCTTCATAACACTATGCCATGGACTGCTAGGAGAACAAACAGGTTTGCCCTGGAGAGGGTGAAGCCAGAATGCTCCGTGGAGTCAAGGGTTCTGAAGCTTCGTATGACATACTTTGGGCGTGTTGCAAGGAGGGACTGGTCCTTGGAGAGGGACATCATGTTTGGGAAAGTGGAGGGTCGGCGCAGGAGAGGAAGACCCTCGATGAGATGGATCGATTCTGTGACTGGAGTGGTGGGAATGAGTGTGTTTGAGACAGCGAGGTTGGCACAAGATAGAACAGCATTTAGGGCTCTTGTACATAAGGTCACTATGAGTTGCAAGTGACTCGATGGCACATAACAACAACAACAACACAATATACATCTCATTGTTGTTTTCGTAAGCTAACAACAAGTCGGTCCCCACATCATAGCACCCCATGCACAATGAGGGCATCACAATGGACTGTAACAAAAGACCACTGTGATCCTGAAGGTCTGCATGGGCTGATTTTTTGTGAGTAGACTGCCACATCTTTCTTCTTAATCTTTCTTTGTCGGGAGGTTACACCAAGACCTGTTAAGAATCATAAAAATATCCAAGCCTCCGCTGACAGCCAAGCAGTCACTTGAAGGGGAGGCAAGAATTCTACCACTGATCCACTGCATAGATGATGTTGTTGTAGAAAGGAGAGTCAACTCTGGCTCACAGCGACATTACACAATTGGAGAATTATCACAGAAGGTTTTCTAGGACTGCACAACGGGCTCAAATATAGCAGAGGTGATGATGAGGATGGTGCAGGACAGGACACGGCTCAGATCTGTTGTTTATAGTGTCGCTATAAGTCCTACTCGACTCGACGGCACCTGACAAACAGCAACAATGATTATAAGAACAGGTTGCCTGGCCTTTCTATTGAGAAACATTGGTAAGCTTGAACCCTCAATGTCTAGATTAACAGACAAGCATTTGCCCATTGAGTCACCGGGAGTCCTTCCTGTATTTTAAACCATATTATAAATTGGTATAGCTACTTTATATGACAACTTTGCAGTAGACATTTAAAATGCACATGTTCTAAAGCTTCCCAAATGTCACTCTTTAGAATCAAGCCTAGAGGAACACTGGTGTGTGCTAGAGAAATAGGTGTGATAATCACTATTCTACGTTTATGGGGGAGAAATAAATAATAGCCTATATTGGTATCATTACAGGGACTCTAACTATGTGAATAATGGTATGTCCATGCCAAGGAAATGGATATGTAGACCTATTCCAAGTGTAGGTTTCTAAAACACAGTGTTGAGTAAAATAAGGAACCTGCAGAAAGCAGTTCTAGTCTGATGTTACTTATATATTCAAAACAAAGAGAGGGGAAATAAGAGAGTGAGCGTGAGAGAGAGTGAATGAGCAGTAATCACACTTGAAAAAATCATGCACTATTCTCTTTCTTCAATGTGCATCTTGCTTGTGGTGTTATGTTGTTAAGTGCCGTGAAGTCAAGCATAACTCATAGCGACCCTATGAACAAAAGATCTGAACCTAGTTCTATAACTATCATCGTTCCTCTACATCCATAGGGTTTCCAGAGGTATAATGTTTAGGAAGTGGATGCCATTCTTGTTTCCATGCTGTATCAATCTGGGAGCTCTACCAAACCCTGTCTACCGTGGGTAATCATGATGGCATTTGACACACCAGTGGCACAGCATTTAGCAATCACTGCAACCCCCAAGTTACCCCAGTACAGCAGATTGACAGATCAGTGCTGTACCACTGAGAAGAATGTTCATAATAAGTATTTGATAGTTGGCTACCAACACAAAAGCACACAGTTCCAATCCCAGGGAGGCTAGACACTATTCTCTTGTTTAAGTAACTGCCTCTGAAAGCCCACTAAAGCATCAGCTATGAGTTGGTTCTGATTCAAAGGTACTCATCAGCAACACACAACTTTTACTTAAAAGCCCTGCAATGATTGAGTTGTCAACTGAATGGCTGGTGCTTCAAGCCTACCAAACTGCTCATGGAATAAAGGTCTGGCAATTTCTTACCATAAAGATTACAACCATAAAGACCCTATTGGGGATGTTGTATATGAGGTGAATATGAGACAAAATGTGACTCAATAGCAAATAACAAAGATAGTTCTTATTTAAACAAATTGCACTCTAAACAAACAACAAGAAAACTACTCAAACCCCACTTGAGGAGATAAGCAAAGAGCCCCTTCTTACTGGTGCAACGTGTGCAGCGGGACCTCTGGCTTCTCCGTCTGCCCGTAGCAGCTGGCCTTGGCCTCGGGGATGTAGGAGAATCTCTCCAACATGGAGGACGCAGCCGTGGTGAGGATGCCCAGGCCATCCCGCACTCTGGCCTCCAGGCTGTAGTCCCAGTCGTCATAGGAGACAGAAATGAGTCCTGAGGGAAACTCTTTGGGGATGAGCTCTGTGTTTCCAGAGACCAAGCTGGGGACAATCCAGAAGAAGTCATATCCCGTGAGACCGAGGGAGCGGGCCTCGCTCAGGATGAGGACTGCTTCATCTTTGGAACAGTAGAGCAAGATGACGGAGGAGTGGATCTTCTTCAGCTGGACCTGCGTCTTTGCATCCTCAAAGGACGTGTCCAGCGTGATGACATTCTGCATGTCCCAGCCCACAAAGCTATTGTCCACGGTGGTCTTGATGAAGCTAATGAAGTCCCTGTACCCAGGGAAGATGGTGGTCACCAGGGAGAAGACGTGCCAGTCATAATCCTGCATGATCTTCAGCATGACCGTGGCTTGCTGCTGGATGGATGCTCCAAACTGGAAGAAGGTGGATGTTGGATCCTGCCAATAGGGAAAAGAGAAAGGAAAATGGGATGAGTCACAAGGCAGGTTATGAGGAACCATCTGTTGTTATAGGCTTGAATGAAACCCATCCAAGAATGAAGATCAATCACATCCCTATTCATTCACAAATACTTTGTGACCATCTACTACAGGTGCCAGACTCTGGGACAGATATTGCACATACAATGACAAGAGATTCCTGAAGTCAGGAGTGCACATCCCAGTAACGTGATGGCCATGTGCTACTATTAGTATTTATTAGTGAGCCTTTTCATTTTCCTCTAGTTTGTTCCATCCTCTACTTTCTGTCCAGATGGTTCTAGTAGAACAAACTCTACCTGGCCCCCAGACTCATGACCTAGAAACAAAACCAAGAAGGGCATAAAACAGCATCAGGATGTGGAGACAGATTCCTGGTAGCATAATTGGAGCACCTGGAATAGACCATGCCTGAAGCCGTTTAACCTGGGCCTCAGGGTCACGTGAGCCAGCATGTACCCATGTTCACTTGGAGAAGAGTTTCTATTGCTTTAAACTCAAGACTCTTATGTAAGGCAGAGTATAATGAATGCCATATAAATATCCATCCACTCCATTAACCAATATCCATTGAAAATCTAACTATGTGGCAACAACGTTTGGGACTTCGGGTGAATGATGATATATGAGGCAGTGGGTTTCCCTTCTCCCTCATCTTGGATAGGAAGAGAACTTAGGGGAGAGTGAATTCCAGGACTCAGGGCTAAGACAGCCACCAGGGGGTGCTGAGGGAGAATTCAAGTCAAGAAGAAGTGGAAAGCGTGGACGCTGTGACCAGAGTAGTTCTCAGGTTCTATACTGACTATTCCAGTTCTTTTGGTTAAAGTCCATCATATTAATCACTTGTACCACACAGGGACTGGGCTAATATAATTGGCAATATTGAGTTTAAAGCAACAGAACCGAAAGTTTGGAGGTTCAAGTTCATCCAGAGCCCACTCAAAAGAAAGAGCTGGTGATCTACTTTTCAATAATAATGGAGCCCAGTTCTATGCTGACACGTGGGAGTCATCAGAAGTTAAAATTGACTTAAAACCAACAGGTTTTTGGTAATAGTTCTAATAAACTTATGATCATGCAAGCAGATCATCATCTCTGGAAGTCTACGATCTTGCAAACCAATATCCAATTAGCAAGCAGTTCATACGGAGTGAAAGCTCTCTACACACTTCTTAACTCATTAAATACCAATAACACTTTTATAAAGAATGAGGCTTATAAATTATTCTTTCCTTCATCTGTTTCAGTGCAGTATACACAACTTATCCAGTTTTTCTCAGTCTTACCCCAACCCTGCTATCAGTCCCATTTTAAAAGCCATGTATGATAGGGTATTATGGTTATCACAAGAGCCCA